AACAAAACTGCATTTTTTTTTTTGAAAAACCAAAACCAATTTAAATTAATTTGTTTTTATTTAATTAGAACTTTTTAAAAAAAATCAGTTTAAACAGATTTAGCTAAGTTTTTTGGTTTAGTCTAATTTTTTAAGTTTAATTTTTTTTATTTCAAATTTATAAAACTAACACCAAACTAATCATTCAGTTTTTAAAATTTTAATTGATTTTTTATAATAGATTTTTTCACTTATTTTTTTTATTATCTTGATTATATTGATTTTTTTATTTTTTTCCTCACCCCTAATATAAGTAGGATGAAGATATTTTTATCCAGTGCTGGAGCGTGTACTATAACTAGATGATCAGCACATATTTGATTCGGGAGAGGGCAAACATCGTCAGGTGATATGGCCAATGACGAACCAATTTTGATAAGGCCTGTTGGCTTTTTTAATTCGAATTCGAGCCAGCTTCATTTTTTCTTGACCCGGTTTTTGTAGACGATGATCTTGACAGGTAGCCAAGATCAGGGACTGGTTTGGAGAGTTGTTACAGAATTGGGGACTAAGATAAAAAATACAAAGAAAAAATGGCATGCATGTAATGCCCACCGGGCCGGACCGGGTTTTAAAACTATGGTCCACAGTCGAAAAGATGCTGGGCCCCCTAGATTGGAAGTGTTCTGGACCCCACTTTATGATCAGACGACATGTCATCGAGAGGTCAGCGAAGGATGAGTGTCATCGTTATTTTGGTTCCGCCTTCTGTTTTTTCTCTTCTCGAGAATGCCGCGCCGCTTTTTTAGAGTTTTCGGTTGAACAACAATTGGGCTCGATTTAAAGCCCACTAAGTACCATATCTGGGCTTGGTTTTCAACATTCCCCCCCCCCCTCCCCAGCAAATTAGGCTAGGCTCTCCAGCATTTTTTCAAAAACTCTTGGACTCGATCTCACGATACATTTTTCATGGTCAATTATGATCCGCGATATTTTTATTTTGTTTTTTGATTACTTTTTTTATTATTTTTTTTATTTGAATACGTTTTTAATAATATATTGTTGTTTTAATTTTTAATTTTATTTAACATGGTCAAATGTGGCCTGCATAAGATTGTGAGATATACATTTGTTAGTTTTTAAAATTAAAAGCATTTAATTGATAAAGTTTTGAAATTAAGTACAAACACTCAAATAGCAAAAATAAAAGTAAATACATTCAAGTAAAATAAAATAAATATACATAAAATAAAATAAAATAAAATAAAACAAATATACATAAATCGATTAAAAATAAAATAAAATGTTCATGTACATTTGACATTATATAATATACTGACCGGTCAATTTCACTATCATGTATATTAAAAGAAATCTTGAGTAAATATTTAATTAAATAAAAACTTTAAAAACTAGTTTGCGCACGCTTCAAAACCAAAAACAAAAACAAGAGACTCAAATTAAAAAAAAAATCAAACATAAAAAATACAGTAACCTCTTTTCTTTGCTCTCGTGAGTGTATGGTTGAAATTCCAACAAAATGGGAAAATCACTTCAAATGTAATTTTTTATATAGCTAGCGTACATGACACTACTACTACATCCAATCTCATGCATGTTAATGGGAAGTAATCTTTGTCTCCTTTCCAATTATCTTACTAATTTATTTATTTTATTTACATATTTAATAAAACTAACATAAAATATTTAGGTTGTGATTGAATATTTTAACCTATATTTTTTTATTTATTTAGAATGAATAGTTAACAAATAACAATATCTTGATTATATCACGTGTATTTTCAAATAATATATATATATATATATATATATATATATATATCTTTTTATATATCTCTTGAAATTAAGCCTTGAACATGTTATTTAGACCAACTTTATTATTTTTTCTTGATTTTTTTGAATTTATTATTTTCTTTTAGATTTTGTATTAATTTTCATTATACTTTTAGATTCTAATTTGTTTTCTAGTAGAGATAAGGTTTTCTAATTTATTTATAGATCTTATAAATCTCTTAAAGAAATAAATATTATTAGACTTTTTTTTTATAGAATAAAACAATGAATACATGGTTTATATTTGTAACCCTTTTTTCTCTTATTAAAATTCTATCTTTATATGATTGTTGTTGTTTTTTTAACTTTTTTCTGCATCAAAAATCATATCTCACCCACACTAAATTTAACTTTTCGAGATAAGGTTTTCTAATTTATTTATAGACGTTATAAATCTCTTAAAAAAATAAATATTATTAGACTTATTTTTTATAGAATAAAATTACGAATACATGGTTTACATTTGTAACCCCTTTTTCTCTTATTAAAATTCTATCTTTATATAATTGTTGTTATTTTTTTAACTTTTTTCTGCATCAAAAATCATATCTCACCCATACTAAATTTAACTTTTCCATCATCATACATTCTTACACTAATACTTTATATTCTAGGAACTAGTCAATTCAATTTCTTAGATGTCAAACATATTGATACCGCTAGTTTTCATTCTAAAATCTAGTAAATTAAAAATGTTTTTCAACTTCCATGTTCAAATTCTTATAAAATCAAAATGACATCAAAGGAGTTACATCTATATATTGTTAAGAATTGAACTTAATTACTTAAACAAAGGTGTAGTTTACCTACTTGATGCTTGTTGTAGCAAAAACTCTGCTCAACATGTAAAATTTGATTATCATGGAAATATTATTCAAATTATCATTACAATTTAAATTTTGAATCTATGGTTATAAAACATAGCATTTTTCTTTTCATATTCAATCATCTTTCATTACATATCTTTCTTTTTTTTATTCAAGGAAACCTCATTATTTGAAAAGTGCATTTTGTGGGTTCAGATAAGTGAGTAAAACTCCAACTGTCTTGAACTTTTACAAAAAATACACGTTATGACTCAAACTCGAGGCCTGCTATACAGATCTCAAGCTCTTTGCCATCATGTCATGCCTCTTAAGAACTTTAACACTTACATATCCTTCAAATATTCAATCATCTTTCATTACATATCTTCTTTTTTTTTATTCGAGGAAACCTCATTCTTTTAAAAGCGTATTTTGTGGGTTCAGATGAGTGAGTAAAACTCCAACTGTCTTGAAATTTTACAAAAAATACACGTTATTACTCAAACTCGAGACCTGCTATACAGATCTCAAGCTCTTTGCCATTATGCCACGCCTCTTAAGAAGTTTAACACTTACATATCCTTCAACATATACACACATTTGACATCTTTCTTAATTTATCTTAGAAATTTTCTTACGCGAGACCATATATCAATTTGAATTTGATCTCCCTCCTTTTAATACTTATTTAGCCAAACCTAGGAATACAAAAGGGAGGGTGTCTATTTTCTTCAATTATATCATTTAATTACTTCTCTATCATTATATTTACACAAAAACATGTTTACTAATTTAACCAGTCTTCTTAAAATCCATATTGATTATAATTTCCTTGTTGATCACAACACTATTTATGTCATGCCTACCAAAATCATAAATCTCATCATCTTTAACAACATTTTGGCCGACACTTGCCTAAGGTAAAATACTAAAAATTCTTCGATCTCTATCATTTATTCGTCATTAGTAAACAATTCTACTTCCAAACCTATATAACTTTACATATGTATATTTACATGATTCCTCATTCCATGTCAAAGAATGTAGTCATATTCTACTTGAAAGACAACATCAGTAATTGTTCTTCCATCATCATTGTAACATTTCCATACCATTTCTTTTCATTCTACAAGAGCTATTTAATCAATCAAGAAGTTTCCTTTTAATTCTTACCATATGGCCAAACCTACCAAGATCAATCATCCAATTCTTTAATTTCAATTACTTCACTTTCCTCGCATTAATCCCATGTTTAGAACTTATTACAAGTTATGTTTTACATCTTTAAGCAAGTTATATAACACAAACCATGTTCTTCCTTGCACTAATACAAAAGCACATAACACATTAAAATTCTCGGATTTGAAACTAGTTTCTTCTCTTGAACTTGCTTGTTCAAACTCATAATATTATAATTTACAAATCAATTTTTATCCCTCATCCTTCATACTCAAATGTGGTCGGCCCTAATGTTTGGGTTCTCTCTTGATGTACTTCAAATTAATTTCCTTGTTAATTCCTTTAAGTTTTTTTCTTTCTTTCTTTGCTAACTTAACGTATTTGTTTCACTAGGCTCCCAAAGCAAACATGTAGAACCCTAATCCACCACATTTTGGGTTTTCATCTCCTCCAACATATTTACTCAAAACATAATGGAAATATGAAGAACTGTCTTAACACACAAATTTGAATAATGTTTCAAGGATGTTATAGATAATTTCTTCTCCCGCCTCCTCTTCTTAACTTGGTTCTCCTTCAATTTTTTCTTCTCTAGTCGTCCCCTCTCTCCCTCTCTCAATATCTCCTAATAATAGTTTTTTTCTTCACACACACACACTCTTTTAAACATCAATATTGGAAGGCATGCAAATGATCTTGATGAAGGAAACACGAGAAAAAAGGAGTAGCTTAGGGCTACCTGCCCGGCTCTACTAGGGAGAGGAAGCGTCGTTCTGACTCGAAGTATTTTATAAACCCCACCTTGTTTTTTTTACTTGACAGCACCAACTGTTCTTGAATAGTTGATTAGTTATAGCAGTAGTGGCAGGGGGTATGTATTATAATATTTTCCACAGCAATTATATACTTGGGCATATTTAGTTTTTTATATAAATAACAAAAAAAAAAAACATCAAACTAATGATATTATATCTTTGTCGAAACACTTTTTTTTTTTTTTGCTGTGGTAGGAGTACATGCAATGCTTACCAAAGTTCTGTACTCTAGAAATCAAGTGGGGATTTAGGTTGACTTCTGCTGCTTATTCATTGGTGGTTGCTGCTTATTTGTACTAAGCTTTTTCAAAACATCTAGCATGATTAAAAAAAAAAAACCCTGGATGAGATTATCTACTAGCTGCTGGTCAAAAGGCAAATCATTAAATTAATATTGGCATGCATTTTCATTTACTAGCTAGCTGGACAAAGAGACCTCGTGATACACTAGATGAAGAAGATGTTTACATTAGATTGTTACTTAATCACTATCTACATTATCCTAATTATAGTAATATCAGTTAGCTAGCTAGCCAGTTACATATACAGATTAATCCATTCCATGCCAGGAATGTAATTGTTTTCTGGTGGCATGTAGAAAGCATCTTCATATCCTTCCATTGCAAATTCTCCAAGAAGTGGGGGGTCCATAGCCATTGACAAGGATGAACTAGGACTATTAGTGGAAACCCCATCAATACGGTCTGACAGCCTTTGGATCTCCTTTTCTGCTTCAGAGAGTTGTTCCTTGAGCTTTAAAACCTGCAATGAATGAACCCACGATTTATTATATTATACATGTGGAGAAAACAAGAAGAAAGGTCATATATGTGAGAAATATTGACAGAGGAATATTTGTTTAATCAATCTTTATAGGACAATGGCGTGCCACTTCGAAAGTGGGAAAGTGCCACGTGCTGGTGTTCTAGTGGCTTTGAAGGGCCCAATATAACAGTTAACCTTAAACAATGCTGTACGGACACATGGTGACTAGTGGATTGAAACACATAATAGTAGAGCAGTGTTTTGTTGTTAAATAGAATGGCAGCATGCTGTTCCTTGTCAAAATTTTGGTTCACTTTTAGGATGATATTTTTCCTTTGTAGCCTAATCCAATAGCTAGCTGGCATGGCTTTTTTTCTTCGAACCCTGAGCTCCTGAACGTTCAAGAATATGGTTGGTCGCCACGTTTTATAGCAGTATAAGAGATTAGGCACGATATATATAATCTTATTTTATTGTTTTTCTTCCAAGGAAGTCAGTAATGGAAGTCATAAATTTCGGAATTGAGCAGCACTATCTTATTGTTAAAGATAAAACAAAGCAGCAGCAGCAGTAGTTATATGTTGAGTAAGGAAGTAAAAGTATGTGGCAATCACTAGAGAATACTATTCCAAATTGTCATTCTTTACTTTCTGTTTGGATGCTTGAAATAGGAAAATCCGGCCTTGCTATCGTCCTAGAATCTAATCAACACAGAAGACAAAAAAGTATGCCAAAGAGAAGACATTCAAGAAACCAATTAATGAGTTGCTAGACTAGTCGAGTCTTGCGTTTGCAGGAAGAGCATGCACACAGAAGTCAAATTGGAGTCCTGAATTTATCATTGTGCATGAAAAAAATCAACCACGTGAGTCTACTTTTATTTTCCAGGGTATTACAACTAAGATAGATAAGACTTACCGAAAAAAAAACTAAGATAAGTCTACTTTTACCATAAATCAACAAACTCCACCATGTAAGTAGTTACACTAAGTTGAGTGTTTCTTCATGTAAATTTACGACTTTATCAAGCAATTAGCTATATATATATATAGACACTCAATTACTTCTTCCTTAAGAGACGTTTCTAAAAAACACAGAGAGAGAGAGAGAGAGAGAGAGAGAGAGAGAGAGACATCATGGACCTCGGATTCAAGTTATATATATATATATATAGACACTCAATTACTTCTTCGGTGCAATAAAAAGAAAACAAATTTCGAAGCCTTTCTAAACTAATAAAGAACTTAAGAGACATTTCTTAAAAACACAGAGAAAAATAACTAATAAAGAACTTAAGAGACATTTCTAAAAAACGCAGAGAGAAAAATAGAGAGAGAGAGAGAGAGAGAGATGGACCTCGGATTCAAGCTGGCATTTCTCGACAACTATGTTTTCATGGGATGTCTTCATCTTTGTGTACTCCTCCTCTAGCTTCTTGTTCTTCCACCTTGCCCTCCGGTTTTGAAACCAAACGGCAACTTGGCGAGGATCGAGTCCCAACTCTAAAGCAAGCTTGTCTTTCCTCTCAGATTCCAACTTATGTTCATTACCAAAATTCATTTCAAGGAGATTAACTTGCTCCTCATTAAGTTTCCTCTTCCTTGCCCCACTAAGACCGGCGTCTTTGTTCTTCTTTCGCCTTCTTCGTGGTTTAGATTCACCTAAGCATGATCAAAAACTCATGTCAAGTAAAGATCATGAATTAATCACTTATTTACAGAGTTGATGATCAACACAAAAAGAAATCATGATTGTTAATTTCTTTTCTTTGTTGCTGTATTGTTTTTCGTATCTCTAACCTTGTTGTGGAACCATTTGAGTGAATACACCAGGGTACAATTGAGAGGTGAGTGCCATGTGATCTTCAACCTTGTAACTCATGGCAGTTGTCTTCCTATTGGTTCTCACGCTCCCTCTCTCTCTTTTCTTTTCTTTTCTTTTTTTCTCTTGTCTCACTCAAGATAATTAAGATGGTGTTCTAGGCGTTGAAGGAGTGGACAACCTAGAGAAACATGAAGGTTCATTTTATAAGGGTTGAGTAGGACTTAAGTGGTTGTTTGTCAAAACGGACCTTTTTGAAACTTGGGCAGTGAGGACCATTATTTCTATCGTAATATCAACAATGCCATTCATGTACCTTGACCAATATATGGGGGTAAGAAGGAAAGTGTCAACATCCCTCTGAATGCCCTCCGTCCTTTCCTTCACCGGTTTTTGCTTGTTGTAAAAGCAATATTGATGAAAGTGAAAAAAGATACTAAAAGGGTGCTTCACATCCTTACATGCTACCCCAATGGCATTCTTTTTTTGTTACAGATTAACTTCCATAATAGCATGAAAAGAGAGGGTGCAGGTGGAATGAAATTAAGGAAGTGATCACAACACGACGACCAAATGTCCATTCGGTAAGCTTAAGGTGCACCGATTGATAGTCGAGGCATACATTTAATTGTGCTATAAATTGAGGAGAACATGATTAGTCAGACCGAATTCATGATTACTCAATACTTGGGGGTAAGAGACAAGTTAAGCTAGGAGAGTGAAGCACAATGCTTCAAAGGTATAAATATAAATGAGAATACGAAAGCTGATGAGGGTTTTGATGGGGCATGAATATTCAACAATTAATCATTAATTATGCATTATCCACAGTACTACAGTACTATCTAGGGCATGGAATAGGTTTGGTTTAGGCTTTCCTAATCAGGTAATTAGTGAAGGAAGAAAGGGTGATTATGCAGGGTGTGAATAAAGAGCTCACACAATCTTGTAATTTCATATGGGTTGAGATCCCAAACCTGACTAGTGACCAACTTGAAGTTAATAAACAATTTGATACGGTTGGCCTCTGGATTTGGAGATGCAAGTCACTTTTGTTGTCTAATTAGGTGGTATTCTCCCCTTTCCATGTCCAACCTCACTAGCCAAGCCGCCCTCTTTTAGCTTAGCTCTATATCGCTTTTTAAAACTACTGATCCATGAGTGGTTCGAGATGAGTGAAAATGTAAGAATTTCACCATTACTTTACAAGTTCATTGTGAGGGTGTTTGGGAGTAAGAAACGAACAAGAAAATGTCGACTCGTAACCTTTATCTTGGATTAGTTTTGATTGAGAGAGACAGGATGCAATTAAAATAAACATAAATTAAACAGAGAGACAAATAAAATATTAGGATGACTGGAGCCATTTCAGGCCACCAGAGATGTCGTCACTGTTGATGTCCTGTTTATAATCCCTTGGGAATTAATCCTAGCTATCTTGACACTAAGTAATTATAGCCATCTCATACATGATGCCCTCCATTTTATACTAGTAATATCCAAGATAATTCTGCATTGATGGAAGGGATCTTTGCCAAGGACCGCATGAACTTACCGCAACAGATTTGGCAAGAAAAAAAAAATAGAGTAGCAAATCATTCTCCAAATGAAACTTGAAGGAAATATATATAACAAAACTTTATCATTCTCCAAACAAAACCAACGAGATATTGGGTTGTTCTCCTTTTGTTTTCGTTGTCTTAATTATGTTTTATCCTGTAATGATCTCTATAAATTGCTCTTTATTCTTCTACTTATCAAGATCCTTGATAGAGAAATGAACAGCAAATTAATCAAGAATCTTACAACATCTCCTCTAATTTCTGCCTAATCAGGCAAACATAAGTCGCTTTCACATACAGATCATTCACCCTCTTCTTTTTGTAGCTAATATATTATAATAGGTGACAAGATGGTCTAAAATGTAAGTGGACAAAATGGAAAGGAAATATGTGGCACTAACATGACCAAGTTTTCGAAAATTTTCAAGGCTGTGAACGGACATGAAAAGCATCGTGGCCACTTTGTCTGTGCTTCGAAACACACGTTCAAGCTTCTAGCTAGCCAAAGGATCTATAACAGACCACAGTTCATAAAGGAAAACAGAAGGGATCAAATGAAATTCTCCATGAGTTTCCTTGCCTACCAATCACTTGTACGATCTTTATAAATTGCTCTTTATTCTTCTACTTATCGAGATCCTTGATAGAGAAATGAACAACAAATTAATCAAGAATCTTACAACATTTCCTTTAATTTCTGCCTAATCAGGCAAACATAGGTCGCTTTCACATACAGATCATCCACCCTCTTCTTTTTGTAGCTAATATATTATAATAGGTGACAAGATGGTCTAAAATGTAAGTGGACAAAATGGAAAGGAAATATGTGGCACTAACACGACCAAGTTTTCGAAAATTTTCAAGGCTGTGAACGGACATGAAAAGCATCGTGGCCACTTTGTCTGAGCTTCGAAACACACGTTCAAGCCTCTAGCTAGCCAAAGGATCTATAACAGACCACAGTTCATAAAGGAAAACAGAAGGGATCAAATGAAATTCTCCATGAGTTTCCTTGCCTACCAATCACTTGTACGATCTTTTCTTCCTTTTCTCTTCTCTACATGGATGGTCAGGGATAGCTAGCCACGGGCTAGCTCTTCAGGGGCACGGAGCAAATCGACCGGTTAGTCTAAAGACTTTGCGGAAGGTTCAACTCATTCGACAACCAACAGACACAGCCTGCCACGAGGAACATGGTGATGCAGATATTTATGGCTCTATCATTTTGCCCCGTCCAGGACACTGGAAAGCTAAACCTATAACAAGATAGTACACTCACTTTCTAGTGCTTCATGATTCTTTTTGGATAATTGATCACAAGTGGAGTAGTTTTTTTCATGAAACATGGTTCGGTCGTGTCATACTTCTATTGCCTTTCTAATCACTTGTAGCTTATTCCCTGTAACTCATTAAATCCCTATTGTTTCAAAGATAATTAGATTTTTTTTTTTGCCATTTCTGATCTACGCATTTTCAATTCCGTAGGTTTTTTTTTTTTTTAAAATGTGCTTCCTCCTTCTTCAGAATTGTTAACCTTATCTCTGTTTTTTACAAAACATTAAGATTTGAAAACATTGCGTTAAGGACTCGATAAAATAGCTTGAGTAAACCTAAACCAAGAAAAAAGAAGCACTAGATTAGTCGAATTCCTACATCAAAATTAAGATTGGCCCATCGTCATCCCAAAACAATATGTAGCATACAAAATATGGAGCATTCCAAAGCATCCATGCAAAAATAGGGATTGGGAGACCTCAATCCACGACTAATTCATTGCAAATGAATATGAAACTAGTGAAAGGACCAAGTTTTAAGGAGATTTAAGAACTTCTAACATTGCATGAATATTATTACCCTACTATACTAAAAAACTTGAAAAAGTTAATGGAGCTTAATTTACTTTGGTGATTTTGTTAACTCTAAATTAACTCTGGTGATTTTGTTACACCTTTTTTAGTTTCCAAAGCTTAAATTGAAATGAACTTGATAAATATATAATAATTGAAAAAACTAACCACACATATATAAATGACATATTGAGAGTAGTATTTCCACAAATTTCCTTAAAGTACTCATACACCTTTTTGGAACAGTTCATGCCACTGGATGAGGCAACAAAACCCACTATGGTTGGGCATACATCTTTTATCAAGAACTCCGTGTATGAAACGTTACATATATGGGACTCCATTTGAGTCGAATCAAATTACAGTGAGTTGCATGTACTATTATCTCTCTGATTATTTGAAAAAGGAAGAAACTTCTCATTTAGATTAACTTGGCTAATTAATTAACATAAGAGAGAAATAAATCTTTTTATATATAACCCGTGAAAGACAATATTCTCTAAAAATTCTAATTTACACACCCTTAAACACATACTAAGTCTGAAACATGCATGGTATTTCAGTAGAGTATATGTGATTTTCGTGGAGAATATTGAGATTTAAACCAACCCATTAACCAGTAAGCTTGTAAAATCGATGTTTATATATATAAACCAATAAGCTTGTAAAAGAAAGAAGCACTCCTTGTGCACATGATCTAAGAATATAAACCCAGATAGGCTATACATCCCTTAATATCAGATGTTGCTGCATGCAGCACACATGGGACAAAGGCATTAGGGAATTAATTTGGATATTGATGGGATTAGAGAAATGGAATTGACTGAAAAAATTGACTTGATCAACATATATTTTTATACAATGTCGTGGGCAAGTGTCGACCGTGGAACAATTTTATTTATTTATTTTGAAAGCCTGTTAAGTAAAGAGCAGGTAGAGTAATTAAGGGGATGGCTGAGTGTCGAGCGCGAGCCAAGTGTGGAGAGAGACGAGGATGGTGGGCTAGACAAGCTGAGTCAAAAACCAAAAAGCAGACAGACTCGGTGTTGCTGCTAGTTCGTAGAATAGAAAAGGAGTGTGAGCGAGAAAGACAAGATGGCCAAGGAAAGGGCACATGGGTCGCAACCAATAGCTTTTACGTGTCTCAACCCCCAAGAACTTAGAGAGGGGACCACATACTCTATCCATCCACGTGTACCTTTTCAATAGATGTAGACATTTTACTCCAACACGCAAGTTCGCCAACAGGACTCCTCTCCTTTTCACATTTACCACTGCCGTGTACAGCCGCCATTGTTTAACCTCCCCCCACCCCACCTCTAATTAATTAATTAATTAATTAGTAATTACCACCACATATATATACTCTTAATTATTTTTTCCAAACAAACTTTCTTTCACTGAAGTAGGGTCAGCCTGAGGTTAATCACGGGTTCAGAGGCCTATGTTTCACTTAGATTTTGATTTTTTTAAAAATATATATATTTTAATATTTTTTTAAAAAATAATTTGAAAAACAAATTGTCTATTTTTTTTAGTTAAAACAGGTTTAGTAGCTAAAAGAAAACGAGAAGAAGGCATATTTAAGGAGATTTTGCTTCATATATATGGCCATTTCGAGTCTTTGAATTTTCCATATTTAAATGAAAATGTGAAAGGAGAAAAAAAAAAAAGATGGTAATTTGATTCGTCTCCCAATTATTGTACCAAGAGGAACAAAGTTAAAAATTAAACTAGCTTTTCTATTATTCGAAGAACACACACGATTGT